CTGGGCTGAGATGGGGGGTGGGGTGCAGTGGTCGGGATAGGCGTCTGTGGCACAAACCCCTTCACCGCTCCTCACCTTTCCTGTGCTGGCCTCTGACCTTGAACCCCTACGGGTGGCGGTGGCCAGCCGGCTCCCTCTGCTCCTCGGCCCCTCTCTCCCCTCCCTGCGCTGTCCTGCACAAGGGCTGGCCTTGCGCTCCACCTGCCTGCTTTGGCCGGGGCGCACAGCCCAGGAGGCAGTGCCTGGGGCTGGAGAAGGCTTTCGTCTTCTGTTCCTGGCACCCCTGGCACCTCCCACCCAGTCCAGCTGTCCAGGCCCTGGTGGCCCCTGGTACAAGATCGGAGACCTCGGGGGAGGGGGGGGCGAGGGCTGTGCCACGGGTGACAGACAAAAGCCCTTCTGTGGTTATGCTCGCGGGGCGGGGGGGGGCTGGACAGAGGCAGGGACCCCGCAGGGGGGTCCTCTGGAGGGGCAGTTTCCCCTGAGGCCCCAGGGCCCTGCACTTGCGCTGGACGCCCACACCCCAGGCACCACAGCCGCCCACCTCCGCGGGGCTCCACTCACCCTGGAGTGGCACAGAAATCCCAGGTAGACGATGGCCGCTGCGGGCAGCAGCACCAGCAGGAACACGGAGGCGGGCAGCAGCAGGTGGAGCAGGGTCCCGAGGGCCTGGGCAGCCAGGCTGGCACCCCCAGCGGACAGCAGGGCTGAGCCGCCGCGATCAGGAAGCCGGGGCAGCATGGGGACAGTATCTGAAGCAACCTCTCCCTCATCCTCCTCTGTCTCCCTTTCCCACTCACTCATGCTCCCAGGTGGCCGGCTGAGGGTGTCCAGCAGCAGGCCCCAGGTCCCAGCACCTGGCCTGTGGCCAAAGCTCTCCAGGTCAGATTCCCACCCGGCCCCCAGCTACCAGCGGGAGGAGGGCACTCTTGCAGAGAGGTCCAGCTCCGACCATCAGTCTCCAGGGCCACACCCTGCCTCAGTTTCCCCCCTGTCAGGTTGGCCCTCTCTGCAAGTGACTCGGCAGCGGTCCTGACAAGCTGCTGTGGCCCCCGCCCTTTGCGGACTGTCCCTGTGCACCTCCAGGGCCAACCCCGCGCTGGCCCCGCCCCGCGCTGGCCCCGCCCCTGCGGCCTGGTGGCGGTGACCGGGCGGCAGGACAGCTCCGTGCCGTGTCCGTGTCCCCCAGCTCTTTGTCTCCCTAACAGTCTGCCTCTGCCACTAGCCCCCTTATTTTAGAGTGGGGGGTGGTGGGGGGTGGACGCAGGGCAGCCCACCCGCGGCGTGGCCCGTCATCGGCAGCCGCTGTCGGCAGGGGCCGGGCCCAGAAGCGCAAGGCCAGTCCTGGCCAGAGCCGGCCGCTGCGCAGACATGGGCAGGGCTGTCTGGTG